GTTGTTGATTCTTATCACTTGTGTTGTTTTCCAGTTGATCATTAAGCCTATATTAAGAAGGTTCATCATAGTTTGCTTAGCGTGGATTGGGCATGTTGTCAATGTGAGAGTATAGCATCCTCAATATCTAGACCTCCAGCTAAGTGAGGGTCCACTGAATTCCACCCTTTTGGTCTGATGTACTTTATACGTGAAAAGCGTATAACATTTCTGTACTCACTGAAAAAGGGTTGGTTAACTTGTGGATACTCTGGCAGTTGGAGTCTTTGTAGAGGTGTTGGATAATATTGCTGAATTTCAGAGGGGTTATTAGTTGTTGAATGTGCAAATTCAATTTTTTCAATTGGTTGGCTTTCATGTATAGATATTCTGCTATGCAGTATTTGTTTATAGATGTCTATCTATCTATTTATGCATATTTTTATGTTTGTGTGTGAAACTAAGGTCTAGTTACACACAGTCATATAAAATTAAAAACTTGTTAGATTAAGATGTTTTAGATATTGTCTGTAGCCATCAAATTTTTATTTATTCTGAAGGTTGTATGTATTGATTCCATTTTGTCTAGTTATTGAGCATACTGAAATCTGCTAATATTGATTTATTATCTTCCTACTTACTTCTCCACTTGTAACCTATATGATCTATTACTTAATTGTAGCATCAAAAGTATTCTTTTAATGTGAATAAAAATTTTAAACAAGTAAACTGTCGCTTCTTGTTTGTTTGTTTTTTGTAGTTCACTCAATGTCTTGTTACAGTATAAATGTAAGTAGCCAGTTTGTGTACCGGTAATTTTCTGGGAGGGTGGGGGGTGGGGCATTCATTTCACAGTGAAGTGAACATTTCTAGCATTTACTATGATTTACACTGGTATTAGTAAAAGTAATTCATGAGAATTGCATCTTTTTTTGTATCTGCATTGGAAGGTTAAAAAAAAAAATACAATAATTATGCTATAGACCAATGCATATTAGCAATCTTCATACATGTAGTTAACACATACATTAAAGTATAGCAAAGCAGTGATGTCGCTATTTCGCACTCCACGACCTCGCTACGCCTCTGTAGCAAAGTATATATGATATATCCCACTGACAAGTTTTTAAAAATGTAGGATACCAGCACAGGCGACAATGTGACATGTCTCAATCACTAGTAAGTAGGCTTGAAAGTACTACATGGACTTGTACAACTAATTGAGCTGTAATATGTTGCAAGATATGTATGGCTTGATGACACTGAAAGGTGCTTAATAAAAAGCAAGGGATTAATATACCAGTGTAGTTTTTATGTACGAGAGGTTTATGGGAAGTTAGGGCAAGTGTCTAATATCAGAAAGGGATGCTAGTTACGGCGCTTCATGAACAACGAGAGTTTCATTTATGACAGGATTAATCAGGTTAATTTCAAACTTTTGCTTGGAGGGGGGGGGGGGGGGGGGAGGGTGGATGACCTTTATTACAGAAGTAGGTGAGGATGTCAGATTTAGGGAATTTACAAGAGTACCCTAATGTTTGTTAGTAAACCGGTAATTAAATACTTTCTGGCTCTAACACCGATCTAGACTTCATGAACTTTATAAGTAGGTACTAGTTAGTTACACGTCAAGTACATTACTCGTTAACTAAAATAGTGTTGTACATGTTCACCCCCGCAATCTATTTGCCGCTCTAAAAGACTGAGTTACTCCAATGCCAACTTTCTCAAGTACATCCACTCTGGATTTAGCATTCATTCTGATCTAGAAGACGTACTTCTGATGCAAGGTAAGATACAAGAATCTGACGAAGAAAAGTTTACTGGTGACCCAGAGAAAAACAAAATTTCGCCTGGTCAGCCTCATTCACAAATATTGTCAAACTTTAAGCGATTAGCCCCAGAATCCACGATGACAATAGTATATAAAACAATAGCAACGTAAGTCAAAGCTCGGCAAGGTGGGATGCGACTTCTTTATGATGGTTTAATCAAGTTCAGAGAGAACAAATACAAGAACAAAGTTTCTTCCAGGCAGTTTCTTCCAGGCAGAGTTTCTTTCAGGCATCTCTTCGCCCCCCCCCCCCGAACAAAATGGAATTTATATAAAAAATATATACTTTCGACAGTGTCCCCCCCCCCCTCGGAAATTGTTGTCCGCCCCCAAAAAAATTTCAAGTGCACCTCCGGAGAAAAACGTCTGGAAGAAACACTGCTTCCAGGCGTCTCCTCCCACCCCCTCCGAAGAAAGTCTACCGCTTCCCCCCCCCCCCCCCAAATGAAACGGAATTTATATAGAAAACATACTTTTACCAGTGTCCCCCCCCCCCCCCCCCCGAACGAAAATATCAAGTGCCCTCCTTGAGAAAACAAGAAACACTGGACAAGAATATGATGTATTTGCGATGTTTGCTACGTACTAATTGCAAAGGTAGATTGAGAACAGAAAAAGGGCCTAGATCTAAGCGAAATACTTAATAAATGACGAAATAAAATAATTGTTTGCTCATTTTGTTTCTAACTCGTATGTGTTTCAATGAATTCATAAGTTACATTTTTAACAACTGGCAAAAAGTCTTTTTTCCGCTCTTTAAGCTAAAGGTAACGAGATTCACAGGCGCTTAAATTTGTAGCTCTTCGCCAGAGTTTCTTCCAGGCGTCTCTTCAGGGAAGCGAAGCCCCCCCCCCGAAGAAAGTCTACCGCCCCCCCCCCCCCCGAAGAAAGTCTACCGCGCCCCCCCCCCCGAAAATTTCAAGTGCCCCCCCCCCCCCCCCCCGGAGAAAAAAGTCTGGAAGAAACACTGCTCTTCGGGGAAACCTGCCATTGAGTATGCTCAAAATTCACATAGTTTTTCATTTCATGTCGATTGGATGAAAGGTGTAATAATGCATAAAGGACATCCCCCCCCCCAAACACACAGACATTTTGTTGTTCACTTAATTTTGTGACCAAATATTGATCTAAGCCAAACCATGCATAAACGTGAAAAAACCAACAATAAATTAAAATTATCTCAATCGTTTTCTGAAACTAAAAGAAACTAAACGACTTATAAGGGGTCTTCCATAAATAACGTCACGCTTTTTTTGACGCTTTTTACCCCCCCCCCCCCATCCACCACACGTCGTCACAAAAAGCCAGACCCCCCCTAAAATGACGTCACTCTTGAGCCTACAACCCCCTTCACAATTGCTGTTGAATTTTTCTTAAAACATCGATATTTTTCCAAATTCTCGTCAGAACTCTGTCAACATAGAGTATTTTGATCAATTCCTATTACAATTTATTAAAACAGTTTTCTAAAATACGAAATAACGGCTAAAACTCGTTTTCTGATATTGCTTTTTTATAATGAAAAAAGTGACGTCACACCATCTAACCCCTACCCCCCTCCCCCTCATCGCACACCGTCACAAAATTGCGGACCACCCTCCCCCCCCCCCCCCCCCTACGAGTGTGACGTCATTTATGGACGACCCCATAAGCCTTAAATTATAAGTAAGTGTGCACTATAGGCCATAGAAATATTTAATTAATTTTAAAAAGGAACGAAACACCTCTAACCCAGTCAGCACACATATATTGGCCCAATATTGGCTAAACATTGGCTACCAATATTGGCTACATCTTGGTGCAACATTGGCTTAACCTTGGCCAAACATTGGTAGTGAAACTCGGCATGATGTTGGCGCAATGTTGGCACAATATTGGCTATATCCCGGCTACATATTGGCCCAACATTGGCTATATCATGGTTACATCCAGGGGCGTAGCGAGGTCGGGTGTCACCCGTTGCGGCACTTAATGGTGTCACCCCCCCCCCAGAGGCATAGAGACCCTTCCCAGGGACAAACTTTCAAATTTTCGATTTGCACCCCCCCCTTCAAACTTTCGATTTGCACCCCCCCCTCAAACTTTCGATTTGCACCCCCCCCCCTCAAACTTTCGATTTGCACCCCCCCTCAAGTTTTCGATTTGCACCCCCCCCCCCCTCAAACTTTCGATTTGCACACCCCCCTCGAGTTTTTCTCTATATATTTTGCTATTTTTTGCCTTGGTGTCACCCCCCTAAATGGTGTCACCCGGTGCGGTCTGCACCCCCCTCGCTACGCCCCTGGTTACATCTTGGCCCAATATTGGCTACATCTTGGCACAATAATGGCTATATCTTGGCTATACCTTGGCTCATCATGTATTATATCCTGGCTGCATCTTGGCCCAATTAATTAAATTAATTAAATGTCAAAGTTCGTGGCACATTGCATTATCAGATCTTAACCGAAGTGACATTCAAGTTTAAAACACATCGGTTCGGTTATAATTTTGTTTTTTGTTAGCAGTTTCCACCCAGACCAGTGTTTCTTCCAGACTTTTTTTTACCTGGGGGGGGGGGGGGAGCGGACACTGGTAAAAAAGTATGTTTTTTAATATAAAATCCATTAAATCCCCCCCCCCCCCCACCCCAGAAGAGATGCCTGAAAGAAACTCTGACTCAGACATGAGAGAAATAGCACGAGGAATCAAGTTAAATAAAAGCTTGTAAAAATGCCCTTAACTGAGTTTTTAAATGATGATTTCAGTTTTGGTAAATTCAAAAACGAAAAAATATAATATTTAATTTATTTCAGTATTTTTTATTTTGATTCTTATTTTAGACATTTTTTTCCCTTATAATAATCGAGTATTAACACGTACGATTATTTTGTAACACCGATTTACGCTGCGATTATTTTTTTTTTAATACACAAAATTACATATTGTATTTGTGATATATTTTGAGGAAATCAAAAGCATTTATAACTATAATCAATATCTAATATTTTAAATCGCAAAAAATAATTTCGCCAGTACGGACAATACTAAAATTTTTCTACTTTCGTTTCGCCACTACGGGCTAGACCCAAAAACTCGACTTTACCTGGTCTTCTTAGATAGGTTGAGTAAACTACGGACAGTATAAAAAAATATAGATTTCTAGATTTAGAACCCTAGATCTAGTGGAGGGAAAACATTAACAAAGTTATACATTTGAAAATATCGTAGAGTCTAGAGTAGAAGAGTCTAGTCTAGTTCATTTTTAATAATTTTTATTTTTTGTGGTCCGTTGTTTTCCTTCACTAAGTCTTGTAACTCGTCTTCAGTGTCACTGGCACTGTGTCACTGGTAGTGTCAGTGTGTGTAGTAGATTCTACCAGTTGGCAGCTAAGACTTAGTACTTAGTACTAGATCTAGACTACCTACTACCTTGGCTAAGTCCTAGATGATCTAGATCTAGTAGTAGTTAATGTTATGTTATGTGTAAGTAACTAGATCTCTAGATGACAAGATGAGATGTTGACAGCACTACCTACAGACAGACTAATAAGAAAGATCTTATATCTAGTCTAGCTAGATTTTATCTACTCTTTTATCTAGATCAGTGGTTCTTAACCTTTTTGTATGAATGTATGTAAGACAATGAATGTAGGTACCAAACCCCATCACTCAGCCTCATGTGAATTCATCAAACTGGTGCATCAACAGCACCACATTGAACAAAACTTAAAATATGACTTCACACAAAAGTAAAAATATAAGAAATATTTATTGCAAATCAGTATGACTTCTATGGTGCCTTCATTCAGACACCAGTTCAGAAATGTGTAGTTTCACCTGTTCATCTCGGCAGGCCTGTATTGGTTGTGTTGACGAACAAGATTCATGGCTTATGTGTGTTGCGATGTCAAGGGTTCCACGATATAGAAATATCCTGATACTTCTATCATCTGACAAAATCCGATCACAAATGTTATGAGTGTGGTGTATGTTTTGACCTCTACTGTACACCTGGGGTTCAATTTAACCCAGGCTAGGAACCACTGATCTAGATCTACCAAAACCTACTGTATAGTTTCCTGTCATCTTTTAAATATCTTTTTATTTTTTTAATGCTTGGACACACACAAAACCAATTCAAAATCGATCTAGATCTAGCTTCTTCTAGGTAGTTGTTTAGTCTAAGGCTAGGCCTATATACTATATAATAGGCTAGGTGATATAGTTATTGTTATAAAGCCTGTATTTTAATATAAATTATGATTTAAATTATTAGGCCTAGGCCTAAATAAAAATAAATAATGAATAGGCCTGTTTTTATTAGCTGTGCTGCTATAGCCTAGGCCTAAAAATTAGACAACATTTTAAATTATTATTATAGGGCATAGGGGCCTAGTAAAATTATATAGGCCTATATCCTAATAAATAGACCTACAAGCCTAAACTTTTAATTAAACCATAACATTTTTTAATTTACAGGATCAGCATGAAGATCCAGTTGGAACAGATATGAATTCTTAACATCACCATGAAAAACAAGTCCAATGTTTGTTATATGCTAATTATTTTAAATGTTTATATATCTGTATGTTGCGGCAATATTGGAATACCATCTTTAAATGACATTAGATTAACGTTTTTTAAAAATTTTGACAAAGTATATTGCACATTTTCTGCCTGCTGTAATGACAGGTGGATATCTAAAAATATTTCAGGTAAGTTGAAAAGCGTATTCATATTTTTAAAAAAAAAGGTAGGCATACAGAAATAACATATTTGATGCGTTCTTTAAATTGGCTCCAGCTACAGGCATTTCTGATATTCTTTCAGGTCGCCATTTCTTATAATCCTTAAGATTGCCCTTTCAAAATACATGTTTGCGTCAGTGATGTCTCATAACAGTTTAGTAGGCACTTCCCACACAATTTAATAATGGTGCTAAACTGTTCAACAGGGATTTCAATTAACTTAAACATGTATTTACATCTTTAAAATATTTCACTCATATACTTTCAAGCATAGATACCTAGAATTTATGCTAGGCTGCACATCATTTTATATACCATAAAAAGTAAATAAAGAATTCTCTTTAGACCTAGCGATCCATTGGGCAGATGAAGTAAGGTTCATATGTTTCCTGACCTCTGTATTTGAAGGGAAGGTGTGATCAGCACTTTGCCCAGCTGTATTTACTTACATGAGTTAGGTACCCATTAGAGCTGGGTGATCTCAGGTACATTCTACTGACTAGAACCCGGATTTGAACTTGAGACTTTCAGCTTAACAGCGTAGGCCATACCATCTCATATGTTATAAATTATGCATGTTATAAAAAAAACCTTTGCTCAAACATAAAATGATGTAAATTTTGTCCATTTGAAGGACTCCAGTATGATTTGTCAACCAGGCTACATGGCCAACATCTGGTTCAGAACACAGTCCTAGCACACATCAAAGGTCACGCTTGGCACAGCAATCCAACCAAGGCGTTAGTACTCTCCTTCCACGGGCTGACTGGAGTTGGAAAAAATTTTGTCAGTCGAATCATCGCAGAAAATCTCTATCGTGATGGACTCAACAGTAGATTTGTTCACCTTATCTCTGCGACCAAGGAATTTCCTCATCATGACAAGGACATGCTTGTCAAGTATAAGGTTGGTAAACTATTTCATCCAACCTGGGATGGTGTGGTTGTGAAGTAGAGCTTACAGCTGCTAAACCCAAAGTCTTGAGTTTGGATCCAGCGGTTGAGTCTGTAAGACATCCCCGAGTCCACCCAGCTCTTATGGGTACCTGATTCACGCTGGGGAAACAAAGGTAGCTGGGCATAGTGCTAACCAATGTCTCCCCATATGCCAAGGTAATTGAAACAGATGAATTCTACCTGCTCCGTCTGTCTTGGACACAAACTAAAATAGATGATGATATTGAATCAGTTATTTTTAGTTAAAGTAGAATATTTCAATCAACTACATGATAAAAATTATTCCAGGATACGTTGAAGTCATGGATTGAAGGTAATATAACTTACTGTGAGCGTTCAATGTTTATATTTGATGAAGTAGACAAGCTTCCAGCTCTTTTATTAGATGTGGTCAAGCCATATGTTGATTATCATGAACATCTTGGGAGAGTGAATTACCGTAAAGCAATTTTTCTATTTTTAAGGTATGTTTTAAGATCTATCAGTTATTTAATTATAATCAGAATTAAATTGCGCAGGAAAAAATATTTAAAAAATGGGAGTACATCCATAACATTTTATTGCAGTAACGAAGGTGGAACAGAGATAGGAAGACTAATATATGAACACTGGATGTCTGGTAAGCCAAGGGATTCTTTTACTCTTAAAGATGTGGAAAACACCATCTTGAAAGCTTCACTAAATTCCAAGAGTGAAAGTAAGTTAGCCTAAAAATATTTTATTATAGATTTTATCCTTTACATTACAAGAAATATATTTCTGATGTTTACTGTTGTAAAATTAAAAGAGAATAAGTAGAAGTAGGGACGGCATGGTTGAATGGCAGAGGATATGACTGCTATCCTGAAAGTCATGAGTTCAAATCTGGGATCAAGTTCGTAGAAGGACTTGAATCCAACCGGCTTTATGTGTACCTCACTCATGTTTGGGAAAGTGCTGACCACACTATCCCTTCCTATGCTAAGGTTACAGAAACAGGTGAAGCCTACTTCACTTGCCCCATGGACAGTCAGATTCGAAAAGGAAGTAGAAAAAATATCAGATACAATTTTTAGTATACATATACAGTAGTATTGGGGCAGTGTGGTCAGCTGGAAGAGTGTACAACTGCTAACCTGGAATTCTCAAGTTCAGATCCTGAGTCCATAGAATTTCCCAGAGTCCACTCAGCTCTAATGGGTACCCATGTGACTTTGTGCATTATGGAAACACTAGTAGCTGGGCATAGTACTAACAACACTATCCCTTCACCTGCCCCAGAGACCATCAGGTTCAGGGTACTTTATTTTTTTACCACTCTGCTGTGTAGACCATATAGACCACATCACTGAGTTTGTACATCCATTGATTTTGTTTCCCGCATAATGTAGGTGGCTTCTGGCACAGTCAGCTGATCTCCCAACACCTCGTCACAGCGTTTATACCATTCTTACCTCTAGAGAAGGGCCATGTGAAAAAGTGCATACGAGATGCACTGATTGCTAAAAAATATTACTCAAATGTGAGGGATATTCCAGATGAGACAGTGGACCTTGTGTTGAAGGAGTTGACATTTTACCCCAAAGAGCAGGTGTATTCTAGCACAGGTTGTAAGAGGGTCTCTGAGAAAGTTGATCTGGTGATGATGGATGCTTCAAAGTATGATGAGTCACACCAGCATACAGAGTTTGATGATTCAGATAAGCATACAGGAGAGTTGTAGGTTACAGCTGTGTGAATGATATGTCATGTATTGTGTATTTTGAGTGATAGCTATGTGAATATGTCATGTATTGTGTATTTTGAGTGATAGCTATGTGAGTGATTTGATAATATTTATGTCAGTGTTAAACCTATGCATCTGCTGGTGGATGATAGAAATAGGAGACCAATCAACACCAATCAAACTTCAATGTCTGTTCATATTTTTTGCCAAAAAGGGTATGAATTTTTTTTACTTCTTTACCTTATCACTTTGTGTAATCTCAGTTTATTTTTCTGCCATATTAAATAGAACTTGTTCAGATAAAACACTGCCAGTGCCATAAGAAGTGATATAATTTACAATTAGAAAATTTACAACACTACCAACATTGCTGACATCACTGCAGTTTGACTTGTGTCCACTAATGCGTGCTGGTGCTATGATAATACATGGACATTTCAGAGTTTTAAAACTACAGACTTAACATAAATTTTGATATGTAAGTAACTATTGCTGCTGATGATTATTATGGTGCAGCAAATTGTCAACATATTATTTGCACTTTTAGAAGGCAGCTAGATGTATCAATATTAATACCATGATTATGAATAAAATGTATAATTTATAATTCATCTACCTATACATTTTTATGTTGGCAGTTTATTTTAGCAAAGTATTAATGGGACAGAGTACCACAGCCGTAAACATTTATTTAACCCATGTGAGTTTAATTAGTTGGCATAGTTTGACCTGTGGTCAAGAAAATTGAGCCATAGAACTAATTGTTTAGCAGAGTTAGCAGTCAGATGGACCACACTGCCAGGAGCTTCCACAACTTTGTGAAGTGATAAAAAGCACTTAAATATCTCCAGTTGAAATTCTTTAAACTTTTTGCCACCTTTTAGCAGTGGATGTCAGCATATATTCCCTCACATGCTGTAAAATACTGGTGTTTCATTGCATGTTTTAGAAATGACAGAATGTAAAAATGATGAAATGTATTTTTCTGACTGGCTTTTGTTACCTGGTGAAGGCTCATCCATGTATGACATCCACATAGAGAGGGGTTCTTTAAAACTAAAAAGCTGATTTTTATGGGTGGGGTACATATGAAAATCTAATTACATGTAACATCTGTATACTTGTCTGCTAACAACAACAACTCAGCAGGGGACATTACAATATGTGTGTTAATTAAATTACAAGTGAGCAATAAAGGGAACAGACACAGGGGTCATGAACCCCAGGTGGACATTCAACTTGTGCCACATGTGACTACAGAAAAAAACTTCCATACAAACACATTTTGTCAGGGTTTGGTTGACGTGTAAAAATAACCAATCTAAATCACTCATTTTATATTGGTATTTTAAAAGTGAAGTTTTTCAACCCATAGCCGATATTTAAATACATTAGTATTACGTAATTAGTTTTAAATTCTACTTAACGTTTCTGATTAAAAAATGTTTGGGTATCATAAATGGATGACCACTTGATTTTGTCAACGTTTGTAATTTTTTAAAATAAATTATTTTGTGATTTAAGACCCTCATTTGACATGCTAAATTTCTTAGCCTTATTTTGACTATGAAACCAATAAGTATACCATCTTTCCCTTAAATCATCAATCCATTATAAAATTAAAACAAAGTGAATACAATAAAATGTGTTAGTGAATGTATAATAAAAATACAAGTAGTTGTCAAAGTTTGATGAAAACGAGTATGAAACAATTTTTAGTGGTGGGATGGCATGGTAGTAACAACTCAACAAAGGTGTAGAAAAAATTTCTTTATAAAACAATTGACATTTAGACATAACATAAATCAATGGTAGACCTCAAGAGTCCGACGCTTTCTGTCTCAATTCCTCTTCAGTGAATCCAAGTTTATTCCAGTCCTCTTTCAACATCAGATTTTTATCCATTCTGCATCGCAGGTAATCTTTGGATTCCTGCCGACACAGGGTAGCCTCTTTCTGATTTTTACGCAAGCACTGCATGTACTTGATCATGAAACCCTTGCACTCCCCATCATGGTCCAAGGGAAAACTCCCCTTGAGAGGAGGCTTTGCATTAGGCTTGGAGGAGAATGTTGATAAACTAGACATGTTAGCACTAAATTCAACACAACTTAAGTCTTGATTTTTTAAACTATTTTATCACCACTAGTTTTGTCTTAAGATTATTAAATGTTACTCTTAGGTATGCTGTAAAACAATAGTTTTTTGTGTGTACTAAAACACTGAGTTCTAATTGAATAAGAATCCTGAAGACTTTTTGGGCTCCGGTTCAGGAATGGGTGTAGATTCCAAGCGATTAACTACGAAGTTCGAGGTGTCCAAAAATCGATCTACACAGTTGCGGATACAGCTTTCAGTCTTAGAGTCAATTTTGTTGCTGGGGTATCCCATACAATTGTCCCAACATCTACCTGTCATCTCATGGATCAGACCCTGGAAACGTTGCTTCTGTGTCTCCTGCTCAACAAATCTCTGCATGTAAGGGTCTTGTAATGCCATAATCTTTAGTCAACACAGCTGGGGAAAGAATTCAAAGGATTCAACATTAACTTTTCTATGATAGTATATTTAATTAATTATATTTTACCTACTACTACTACATCATAACTGAGTTTGTGGATCTGTGATAAAGTGTAAACAAATGCAAACAGTCAAATAAAAAATCTGCAGTGCGCTAATATTTTTAACTTCAGTTCAGCGCCATCTAAAAATAACTATTAGAATAAAGGGGAATGCTATTCAATACTCCACAACTTAACTAATAAAGACTGATAAAAATAACATTAGATATTAAATTTTCACTTTTGCAAAACAGTTAACAATTAGATACAAGGCCTAATTTTTTAAAATGGCATAATAAATGAAGAATTTTATGTCCCACAACGGAATCCTCCGGTCAGTGGTCGGCATTATGTAATCAAGGCTGGTAGTGTCTAAAAATAAAACGTTAATATAAACACATTTCACGCTAGGCACCATGACAACTGATATGTGTAGTTTTTTAAGATATAATTAATTGATTATCTAAGTCCCACAATATTAATGAGAGGCCCATTAAATTTTTTTTAAAATCATGCATGGCGTAGTTTATTAAATTAATATGATTATAGAATCCTGTCTGGTTTTTTTGGACTATACTAAAGATTGGATGTATTGGATGTTTTTAATATTTTTGGTAACTCAATAAAAAAAAGCAAAAACAATTTGGTTTTCACATGCAATGGTGACATAAACAATGGCATCCTGCTATTCGATAGGCTAGTATAAATTTTATTGTACAAATTGTAAGCAAAAAATGGCAGAACTAGGTCATGTGGTTTGTATTTGCATTGTTATTTAAAAACTTGATCTGCAAAGTTGTGTAAACAAATAACTATGACGTGTGGCTGCCAGAAATCGATTACTGAGTTTCTCTACAGCCAATCAATGTTTATCTTACAAAAGTGAAACTTCAGCTTATAACTTAGGCTTGATGAAAATAAATACAAATTTAATGTAGCCATAAAATTCAAAAACTTATTTTCAAGTTCTCTGGATTTTAAACTATTATAACATTGATTCTAAAAATATTATATTTCTGAATAATTTTTAGGCTTAAGTCTTTATTTGGTAACATATCATTTTAGGTACTAGTAATGTGATAAAGGTGACTCATTAAATTTTAGTGATTATTTCAACTTTTAGGAGGAAAGTTTTTGAAGAAAGTATTAATAGTAGTAGGGTGTTGCCTAAGATTTTATACTTCATTATTGTTCAAGATGACATTAACAATTAAAAACTACATTTATTTAGCTTTAATTTGATTCCAATTTTATTTAGCAGATTTAATCAGTAGCCTAGAAAATGATTTGTGAAAAAATGCATTTGTTTTTAAATGGCTACGATGATAGGACTGACTTTCAGTGATGCGGTGGGTTAGTTTTTTAAAGAGTGTTGTTGTGACGCAATTGACCATTCAATGCCGTTGAGCAGAAATGTGTCTTCTGCTAGATTCCTCCCCATTCAAATACACGGCGGGCAAAATAGCTGTTGTCTTGATAAAGTTATTTTTTACAGGTTTTGTTTTTACCCTGAATGATTTTTAAAACATTAATGACAGTTTAGTAGAAAGCAAGTTATAATTTTCTATAGTTTAGAATATATTTTCAGTATGTTTAGAACAATATTAAATAAAGTAATTCACGTTTTGCTTACTTTTATTATGTCCTGCTCGATATTTTCAGCGATGAGACAAAAAAAAATGTACAAATGGCAAGTTTGCATCAAACACTAATAGTCCATTGTTAAAAATAGACCAGTATCGTTGAATAATACGCAAAATTAATGATTTTAAGTATATATTTCTGAAATGACCATGAAAGATTGTTAAAAAACAGAATCACAGTATTGTCGTTTTTGGCAGCGAGCATTACCATGATGACAGTAAAAAAAAGTAGGTCAAATTTCTGGGATAGTGACCACACGTATAAACCTGAGAATTATTCCCAGACGTTGCCATGTATATAAAGCTAAGACTCTGAACTGTTGCTTAATCACACGCTGGTTAACATTCGACGCTTAGTTTTGAAGTTATTTGATTATAAGTTCACGTTAACACAAGAATAAAAAGAGTGTCTTTCCCTTAAGTGCCACTAGTGAGATAAATAAAGAAATTAGCTCTAAAGTACACCTTACTAATTACTATTCTTGATTAACAGACTTAATTAGAAACGGGTAATTCCGATAACTAAAATTGACGATGGCTTCAAAATCATTGTTTTTATCCCTCTACCCCTTAATGAAAATGAAACCGCGCCACCATCTTAGTAAATTACTTCAATAGCTTGCGCCGTGAGATAATATAAACTAGTATTACTCACTGACCCAGAATCGTGGTCGGTTGCTGACAACAATATGCATACAGACCGGATGCATGACTTCCGATGATATTTCATCTTATTCTTAGTTCCAGTGACCTTCTTAGAATTACTGTTTAAAATGTTTACCACAAGCAAAATGGCAGGAGCTGTGAACCGAATGGCCTACTAAAAGGAAAGATTACCATTTATTTTTATTATTTTTTTACGGTCGCTTTGATTTTAAATCTAAAAAAAAAAAAACACATTTTTAATCCATGTCAACAATAAGGAAGGATTCTCATCAACTCGGACTCCATTTAATACGCAGCGATGAGATTTTGATTCTAAATCTAGATACTAGAAAGATCTAAATGATAATCTAGACGTCTAGACTCTAGAACACGGGTTCCCAACCTGGGGGTCGCGAAGGTCTTTCTGGGGGGGTCGCCAACTGGTATACTAAACCTTAGTAATTTGAAACAAAACATAAATATTTAGAAGAATTTTAAAAATTCGGCTTCATTAACATCACTGGAAATGTAATAGAGAAAAAACAAAGTGCACTGTACAAAGTTGTTCTCAGTCACGAATCTATGAAATCTTCAAAACTAAAACGTCATTTGAGACGAGTCATTCCGAACACACCAAAAAATATATGGAGTTCTTTCGTCGGTAAGAAGCTAGTTGCAAACGCCAGAGACTAGATCGAACAGGAAGTTTTCACCAGCATTAGTGCAAGCAACAAATGAAGTCGCAATAGAAAATACCAAGCAAAAAAAAAAAAAAAGGAGAAAATCTCATCAAACGCTGCATGTACGTAAATGTTAAATAACACATTTTTATTGAAATTAAGCTTTCACCATTGTTTGCTTTTCAAGTTGATAAATCAACAGACGTGAGTTCGTGTTCGCAGTTGCTGGTCTGTGTCTATATTCATGCGGATGATAGCAAAGAAGAGTTGCTCTTTTGTGAAGATAGCATGGAGAAAATAACTACCTTTTTTTAAACTGGATGATTAAAATGGGTTAGAATGGCTGTGGGGGTTTGTATGGATGGTGCGCCATCTATGTTTAGCTCAAAATCGGGCTTTCAGAAAACAGAAAAGAGTTGGGAACCACTGTTCTAGAATAATCTAGACCTCTAGATTAATTTAATGGAGACGAGCGAGTTGACGAGAATCCTTCCTTCATGTTGTTGACATGGAATAAAAACGTGCTTTTTTAGATTTAGCAAACAAAGCGACCGTAAAAATAATAAAAAAAAAAAAAACTTCAGCCAAAAATTAATTCAGAAATTTTATAGGCCTATTTTTAGAATCGATGCTATAAAAGTTGCAGATCCAGAGAACCTGAAAATAATTTGTTGAGTTAAAGGCTACATTTCTATTTATTTCCATCCAGCATAAGTTATAACCTGATGTTTCATAAGACAAATATTGATTGGCTGTGCAGGAACTCCGTGATCGATAACTAATAGTTTACAAAACCTTGCAGACAAAGTTTTTAAATAACAATGCAAACTAAAACCCCATGACATAGTTTTCCTTTTTTTTCGCTTACAATGTGTACAATAAAATTTATGGCAGCTTATTGAATAGCAGGATGCCATTGTTTATGTCGCCATTACATGTGAAAACCAAATTGTTTTTGCTTTAAATTTTTATTTAGTTAGGGCCTTCCGAAAATAAAAAAAACGGTAATCTATCGTTTTTGGTACGTAAAATCGCCCGCGACTTGTAATATGAAAAACAGGTGACTCCTTAAATTTTAATAATTATTTCACATGTTGATGAGGATTTATGTTTTAAAAAATTCAAAAATGTTTCCTTGTTTCATTTATGTACCTGTTTTTAAACAATTGAATTAAAACTTTTCAGTAATAAATGAAGACGCGTTTTCAGTAATAAATGAAGATGCGATGTTTCCAACAGATGCAACCATGCTCATTTACTATAGCAGCCATCTTGTTTAAGTTTTATTTTTATAAACTTATAGCGCGAGATTCAGGGGGAAGTCACTCTATTTTACAAATGGCTGCTATTTATATAAATCTTGCTCGCAGACACTGCTGTTTAAAGTTAATTTCTGGCCTATAGGCCTATATATTGATATATTTATTTAGCGATTGATTTAGGTTTATTAATCATTTATCTATAATATTTGACACAAACATATCACAATATACTTCTATTAAAGCCTTGACAATGAGGTAATGTTTTCGTACATTAATAGCCGCGGGCGATTTTACGTCGTTATGCCTACCAAAAACGATAGATTACCAAAAAAACATCAAATACATCCAATCTAAATCTTTAGTTAAGTCCGAAAAAAAACAGACAGTATTTTATAACCATATTAATTCATTTAATTGTAACTAGAATCTACGCCGTGCATGATATTTAAATTAATTAATGCCTGTAATGATGTAATCATTGTTGAATGTAATGGCCCAGTTAATGGGCCTCTCGAATATGAATAGTCGAATCATCTTCTCTCGCTCGCGCCCATTTCATTAGGCCTAAGTTTTAATTAGGGCCCCGAGCGGTAACAATGTACTGTACTACTTACAACTTAACAATCTGTTTAAAAACAGTGCACTTTCAGACCATTTAGAATCAAGCTTCTTCTAATCTAGATCTAGAAGTCTAGAAATTATTGTGAAAACAGTGATTACCACACGGACACAATCTCGTCAAAGTCAACAAGGGAGGCTATTCTAACGGTATATCGACTAATTATTGTACTGGTTTCCCTTTATATGTAGAATCTAGGCCTATCTATTATTTTATACTTCATTACAGAGTTTAGAGAAAGCACTGTAATCAGTCAGAAAAATTAAATGAAACTTAACATCCCAGAGGCGTAGCGAGGGGGGGCATATGTCTCCTTTCTTAAGGGGCGCCAAAATGGGTTGGAAAAACAAATTGAAAGTTTGAAGGGGGGTGCAAATCGAAAGTTTGAGGGGGGGGGGGGGGTTGCAAATCGAAAGTCTGAGGGGGGGGGGGGTGCAAATCGAAAGTTTGTCCCCGGGCGCCGGGAAGGGTCACTACGCCTCTGTTACAACCCCCCCCCCCCAAATGCATCGTATACGGAATATAAAGGATACATTTGTTCGTGAAAAAAATCTAAATAAAGATTTTGAGAAAGTTTGATAATCTATAAATTCGGGAGCTGGAAAAACTTCGTTTATCATTTTGTTTTTTTCTTTAATAATATAGCAGACAAAAATCTTTTGAAACACCTCACCTACCCCAAAGTACCTTGCCAGGCGCTAGATGCCTTATGGCCACAAACCACACATAGGCTTGTACAGAGTTTTAAAATAAACTCAAATCATTTTTAAAGAAAATAGAAATGCACATGGAATTTTCTTTAAAATAAATGTAAGCATTCATATTGTCTTTAAACTCAAGCTGTGATTGTAAACATGCGTGTTGTCTATAAAGCAAGCTGTGACTTTAAATCAGTTGCTCTCACATACTTTCATTATGTAATTCAAGGGCAGTATAAATTCTAACATTTAGTAATATAACATTGCCATCTATCACCACACTACTCCTAATATCTCTGGCTAGATCCCTTTGGAGTTTTAGCTTTGTATTATGTCCTAAACGGCAATTCAAAAACCTCTCTAACAAATTCGAGAATATTAAAAAAAAAAAACAACATCATTTACAGTGGTTTTATTTTAAAAGCTACTTATCTACATCCACACAGGCCTATTATAAATAAACGGAGCAGATAATTTGGTGCGTGAACCGTTAAGTGGCCAGGTAATGGACTCCTCTCTTGAGCGAAAAATTGAAATGTACTTTTAGGCCATTACAGTAGTAGGCTAACACAAGTGTATAAACACGAGTGGATGGGGGGGGGGGGGGGGGGGGGGAAGAAGGGACGGGGGGGGGGGGGGAGACGGACCGCGGCCATGTCTGGTTTGAGTTCTCTAATACGACCTCATTAGTCCAGACGGCCAAAGGGATTGTTACTGATCTCTCAGACAACAGTGGTCAGATCCATAGTCTGGAGTTGTCCACTGGTGGTCCACTGATGGTCTACTGGTGGTCTATAGATGGTCTACTGGTGGTCTACTGGTGGTCTATTGGTGGTCTACTGGTGGTCTACTGGTGGTCCATAGATGGTCTACTGGTGGTCTACTGGTGGTCCATAGATGGTCTACTGGTGGTCTAGTGGTGGTCTACTGGTGGTCTATTGGTGGTCTATTGGTGGTCTACTGGTGGTCTACTGGTGGTCTAGTGGTGGTCTACTGGTGGTCTACTGGTGGTCCATAGATGGTCCACTGGTGGTCTACTGATGGTCCACTGGTGGTCTACTGATGGTCCACTGGTGGTCCACTGGTGGTCTATTGGTGGTCTACTGGTGGTCTATTGGTGGTCTACTGGTGGTCTACTGGTGGTCCACTGGTGGTCTACTGATGGTCCACTGGTGGTCCACTGATGGTCCACTGGTGGTCCACTGGTGGTCTACTGGTGGTCCATAGATGGTCCACTGGTGGTCCACTGGTGGTCTACTGGTGGTCCATAGATGGTCCACTGGTGGTCTTGTGGTGGTCTACTGATGGTCCACTGGTGGTCTACTGATGGTCTACTGATGGTCCACTGGTGGTCCATAGATGGTCCACTGGTGGTCCACTGGTGGTCTACTGGTGGTCCATAGATGGTCCACTGGTGGTCTAGTGGTGGTCTACTGATGGTCCATAGATGGTCCACTGGTGGTCTACTAGTAGGTGGTCTATAGATGGTCCACTGGTGGTCTACTGGTGGTCCATAGATGGTCCACTGGTGGTCTACTAGTAGGTGGTCTATAGATGGTCCAATGGTGGTCCACTGGTGGTCTACTGGTGGTCCATAGATGGTCCACTGGTGGTCTAGTGGTGGTCTACTGATGGTCCATAGATGGTCCACTGGTGGTCTACTAGTAGGTGGTCTATAGATGGTCCACTGGTGGTCTACTGGTGGTCCATAGATGGTCCACTGGTGGTCTACTGGTGGTCTACTGATGGTCTACTGATGGACCACTGATGGTCCACTGATGGTCTAATTAACAAAACACATTCAATAGAGATAAGGGCAAACCTTTCACTAGGGTGCCTTTTGGTTTGGAATAATTATTTAAAATAATTTTAAAATACGAATATTATCAAGAATTTTTATTATTATTTTACAATTGATTCATTATTTGTGAGAATAAAACCAGAACATACAAAAAGAAAAAAAAAAAAAAACTCATCCAAACAACAAGTTAATATGGCCGACTTTTCCAACAGCACGTGACAATAAGTTTCCACTTCCGGTGGAAACGTGAGAACCAATCAATGAATGAATTCCCTCCAGGGGCCGAACATAGCTTTTGATTTTTTGTTCCTAAGCTCGGGATATTTTAATGAATATAAATAATCTCCCTCCCCTTAAACCCCCTTTACGTAATGCTACATTTGGGTACATACAATGGCGCCTGCTTTTAACGAATTCGGTCCTCAAAACATTCAACCAAACAGTTTTACAAAGTGAAAAAATGACAAAAATTCCAGCCATTTAAATACGTTTGTTTATTCAGATGACAGTTGACAATGAACATCAGAAGAAACAATTTCTGCGAAAATAAACAATTTTAAAACATGAAATAATCATTTAATAATATCATATTGAACAGAACAAATAATCAGTAAAGTAGTTCTCTTTTTACAAGACCATAAGTATACTATTTACATGCATGTTTAGTTTATAGGCGATATATATATATATATATATATATATATATATATATATATATATATATATATATATATATATATATATATATATATATATATATATATATACAAAGTAGTTGTTTAAGTGTTTCTAATATCTGAAGTATTTTAAGATGCTATAGTACAAATGCCATAATATTTAATCACTTAAAAAATGAAATTAAAAAAAAAAACAACAAACAACGCCCACTTTTAAAAGTGCCAACTTGTAAGTTATCTCCCTTGAACACACCCTGCCACTGAGGCTGGTTTGTTTGTCCCCCCCCCCCCCCCCCCCCCCCCCCCCCCACCTTACCCTAAAGTACATCTGATTTAGAACCTTTGCCGCCAACATAGTTAAGATGGCGGTCAGGCTATTCACTATCGAATTTAAAACAACAACTTAATTAATGGAATGTTAATTAAGGCCGGTGTCGTCACAGCAAATGCCTTATCGGAAAACTCAGCTGAATTACGCAACACTTATTTACAATCACCATTAATTAAAAATGCACAGCTAAAATGGAGACAATGAGCGAAATGAAAAGAAAGACTTTATGACGTGATCAGTCTGTCTCTACACGAAACAAACAAAACGATGAAAAACTTGAACCAGAAGGCAACGAGCCAAAACATAAAGCGGCTGCTAATGATCAGGCAACTCAATGTTTGGGACTAGCTGGAGGTTGGTGGTGCTGTCACCAAACTGTAACCACATCTCACCTCAATGTCCTCTCCCCACCAGCACTCTCCCCCATCCTCACATCCCTACATAAAGCCAGATGGAGCTTAAAAAATAGATGGAATAAAACTAGTATGAAGTGAAGCAAATACAATCTCATGTGCGAACCAAACATGTGCAGCGACAATGTGACGCAGCAATGTGACGCAGCAATGTGACGTAGCAATGTGTATAAATGAACACACCAAATGTAAATCAACATCAATCCAATTGACAACAATGAACATAATCAAAATAATAGTACAATTTTGTCCATAATCATCACAATCCGATCACAGTGAATGAAAAAGTTTAAAATACCAGAAATATAAAAATAGAGTAGAATTTTTCTCTTTGATAAGGGGCGGTAAATGAAAGTTTGGAAACAGTTCATGAGATGCACCAGTTTTTTTGGTTCACAACAAGTCAACAAAAGCCTCGGGCAGGGGCGGGCTGGGGGCTCGCCTGGAAGTCTGGAGTCTGCTGCTGTCTGCCAGGAGAAGGGTCGTCTGCGGCAGACACGAGATGCTCCACCTCACGTCTGTGAAGCGTGGACAAGCTGACGTCATCGACGTTCTGGAGGAAACTACGTCACCAGCCGCAGGGTCAGTCCTCCTCGTCTGTTTCCGCCAGGGTGGGGAGCGCCGGACTCCGGGGGATGGACGGGCTGCTGTTGCCCCCCGTCACCCCGGGGTTGCCGCCCCCCGCGACACGGTTGGGCGAGGCCGGGGGCGTCAGGGTCTGGAAGGCGTCCAGCCACTGCTCCAGGGACGAGAGGTCAAGGGTCTCGAACTCGATGACGTTTCCTGAGTCACATTTGCCGGCAACGATGAACCGGCCCAGGCAGTCGCCCGGCAGGACCCGGCAGTGTCGCATGTTGACGTAGACAGGCTTGCTGGTGTAGAGACAGTCACGTGATATGACGGCGAAGTGGTCCATGTTGCAGCGGTACACACGCACAAAGACGGACATCTTTCTGCTGGGGGAGGAGGTGGGGGAGCTCGACAGGGGGGAGGTGGAGAGCTTGAAGGGGGAGGCCTTGGAGGGGGACCGTGTGGGGGAGGCACACGGCGAGGACGAGGCCGCCCCTCCCGTGTGTCTGATGAGGTACAGCCTCCCAGAATGCACCTCGTGTTTCTCGTCAGAGTACGACGAGGAGGGGTGGGAGGATGAGTTGGACGGCTGGAAGGCGTCGTTGTCCAGTTCATCGTCCGGCATGTAGTTGATGAAATCGTGGCCGTCCACTGAGTCGGGTGGGCAGATGGTGATGTGGGGCGGGACTTTGGACTTGAGGGAGGGGCGGGGGGAGTAGCACTTTGTGGAGTTGGCCATCAGTTGGCCCGTGAGCTGGCAGGCCAGGTTGTCGGCCATGTGGCCACGATGCTGGGGGCTCTGGTTGTTGTTGTTGATGTTGTAGTAGTCTTCTTGTCTGGGAGTAAGGAGCATGGTCGAGGACAGGGAACGAATCCAGGCAGCACCACGCACGTTTCACCTGATTAAATATCACAGCCGTAGGTTTGATCTCACATCAGCAAACAACTGCTAGAGATCACGTGATTCCCGTTAAACTTAGGGCGCTTGATCAACTTAAATGTGTGTTGTTCTAGAAGAGTCGATCAGCTTAGAACAGGCTGACACGGGGTTGATTTGGTCAAGGGTCAAGGCAATCAGAATGACCTGTTGATAAAAGATGAAATGATTAGAAACATGATCGTTAAACGAAACAAACATTTTGTATTTTGTCCAAACAAACCAAGAGACGCTGGATTACAGCATCACACACTCAGACTATATTTTTACTGGACTACTGTGTAGGCTATACAGTGAACTATACTGTGTGCTAGACATACATAAGTATAGAGCAATTATGACAGATACAGCAACCCAAAGACTACACGAGAATCCTAGATTTACCAACACATCACGTAGTCAAGCGTTGACAGTTAGGATTAAATATCGATACTAGCGATTCCATCAATTCAAATATGTAGGTAAACTGTACCTACATATTCGAATCCATACGAAATAATCACATACGACTCTGCACCCCCCCCCCCCCCCCCACACACACACACCACCTACCCACACAGATACCACCACAACCCCTGCCGGCAACCCTCCATTGATTTACTTGCCTACACAATGTTATTATCTGCCGGTGGAAAATTATGTTTTCGCGTTATTTCCCCTGACAGCGGTTACTCCCCTTACCATAATGGCAGCGCGGAGAAGACATTAACATATTGATTACGTTCTCTTGTTGCCCGAGAAATTAAGGCCCACTCGTTCATTAATAACTATGTAATGAGTGCTCATTTGCATAAAATGTCAGAGGTAACCCACATACACTCAACTTTATTTGTATAAAAAAACTTATGCTCGGTTACTTTGTGCTTATTATTTATAAAAAAAAATATTCTCAACTACATCGAGATTGTTTTTTCCAGCTGAGAAAGATTGAAAGAGTTTGGTCGAGATTTGGCTTTGTTAGGATAACCTTTAACCTTTTTATCATCTGGCAGAGTTATGTCAGTTTAGCGGCGCGATACAGAGAAGCAAACAACGAGAGTCTGGCTTGCGGTAATCAGATTTTTAACTGCTGGTTTTCGTTAGGTAAACAAACAGTTGAGTGGATAACGGGAAGGGTTTGATTGTCGCTTGGTGGAGCAGCTATGTTGTTCGTTAGGTGAAGTAGCTATGTTGTTCGTTAGGTGAAGTAGCTATGTTGTTCGTTAGGTGAAGTAGCTGTATTGTTCGTTAGATAGAGCATGTGTATTGTTCGTTAGATGGAGCACACAATGTTGTTCGTTAACTGGAGAAGTTCGCTCAGGACAGTTAAGGAAATGGGGTCAAAGGTTGAAAACACCCCCAAGCTCTCCCTGTCAACATGAGCTACATCATACAGAGCCGTGATCTACAATTTTGACGTGATCTACAAAGGTGATGTGATCTACAAACGTGACTAACAACAAATGAAACAATCAACAATCCAAAACCAACATTCAAACGTAAAAGTGCTAGAATTGATCCCACATCCTTCCTACAGCACCGCTCTCCACCCCCAGCCCTCCACTCAAGTCCTCCACACCACCCCTCAGTCCCCGCCCCCACCCGTATCAACTGTGAGCAGCCCCCACTTACCTTGATGCTCACCCACAGCCCGAGGGGGAGGCAGCTGTAATCGATAAACAACTTTAATCGGCGCAAGCCTACACCAGCAGCCTACACCAACTGCGGCCTACACCACCAACAGCCTACACCAACAGCCTACACCAACAGCAGCCTACACCAACAGCGGCCTACACCACCAACAACAGCAACACCATCGGTGGTTGTTTCCATGTCAAATAACAAAAACAATAACAACTGCAACAACAACAGCAACAACACAAATAACAATAGTAAAAACAACCGCAACAACGCAAACAGCACCAACAGTGATAAAAACAACAACAACACCACATCAACAACAAAAACAAGACGAAATTTAGGTGAACACAACGAAGAGTTGTGACCTTGACACGAAAATGTGCTAAGATAAGACCGATTGTCTGAGAGGAACCAGGTCCTGGAGTTTCCTGACTGGGCCTCACCTCACCTCGCCTCGCCTCACCCACAGATAACGTGGCCTCCCTACACACCCCTCCCCTGACTGGACGCGTTCACCTCGCCTCGCCCACCGATAATATACACATACCTTCCCTGAATATAAGACTCCCCCCCCCCCTTCAAATCTATAGCAGTTGAGAGAAAGTTCGATGTACATGTTCACAAAAATGCTGTCAGTGTGCACGTGGGGATACGGAATATAGGCAAGATAGAACAGGCATGTATTCACGGGCACAAGTTGCAGTGTTTATGGGCACAAGTTGCAGTGTTTATGGGCACAAGTTGCAGTGTTTATGGGCACAAGTTGCAGTGTTTATGGGCACAAGTTGCAGTGTTTATGGGCACAAGTTGCAGTGTTTATGGGCACAAGTTGCGGTGTTTATGGGCACAAATTGCGGTGTTTATGGGCACAAGTTGCGGTGTTTATGGGCACATGTTTTTGGGTGAACAAGTAGCCACATTAACGGATACAAGTTTCAATGTTGCCATAACGGGAATGGTAACCGTGTTCATGGTTACAAGCTTACACAAGGTTTCAGACAGCCGGCCTTAGGTCTTGGACACACGAACCAGTGGATGACCTTCTCACCTCCACCCTGACAGCTCCATGACATTTATGTCAGTTGTCATGACTGGTTTTCTACTGACACTCAGTTCACACGCTGAGTCACGTGACGCCCGTCTTGCTCCTCGGTTCACCCTACGGGACATTATTGCCAGCAAGTTCTGTAACCTCTGACCTCGGGGACGGGATTCGAACCTCTTCCCCACACCAACTTTATGCTGCATGTTATCTCGCGTGCTGCTCTAATATACGCTGACTCATGTCATATGACGCTGACTATGTCATATCATACCGACTGCAGTCATGTGACGCTGACTCCAGACATGTGACGCTGATTCCAGTCATGTGACACTGACTCCAGTTATGTGACGCTGACTCCAGTCATGTGACACTGACTCATGTGACGCTGACTACGGTCCTGTGACGCTGACTCCAGTTATGTGACACTGACTCCAGTCATGTGGCACTGACTCATGTGACGCTGACTCCAGTCATGTGACGCTGACTCCATTCATGTGACGCTGACTCCATTCATGTGACGCTGACTCCAGTCATGTGACGCTGACTCCAGTCATGTGACACTGACTCCAGTCATGTGACGCTGACTCCAGTCATGTGACGCTGACTCCAGTCATGTGACGCTGACTCCAGTCATGTGACACTGACTCCAGTCATGTGACGCTGACTCCAGTCATGTGACACTGACTCCAGTCATGTGACGCTGACTCCAGTCATGTGACACTGACTCCAGTCATGTGACGCTGACTCCAGTCATGTGACACTGACTCCAGTCATGTGACACTGACTCCAGTCATGTGACGCTGACTCCAGTCATGTGACACTGACTCCAGTCATGTGACGCTGACTCCAGTCATGTGACACTGACTCCAGTCATGTGACGCTGACTCCAGTCATGTGACACTGACTCCAGTCATGTGACGCTGACTCCAGCTTGCCTTAAAGTACCCACGCCTGACATCACCAAACCGTCCTTCTGATTGATTGCTTTAATTACTTGAGCATGTTGATTTAATTAGATCTTTCCTAACTACGAGAGTCCTTCAATGTCAATACACCTGTGGGTTGGGAGGGGGGGGGGGGTCGGAGTTTTTGACAGTGTGTTGTATGTGTTGTGTGTGTTGTGTGTGTTGTGTGTGTTGTGTGTGTTGTATGTGTTGTGTGTGTTGTGTGTGTTGTATGTGTTGTGTGTGTTGTGTGTGTTGTATGTGTTGTGTGTGTTATATGTGTGTTATATGAGGGTCAAACAATCGAACTGTAGATTTTTTAATGTAAAAAAAGTGAAAATGATTAAAAACAATGGGTGGGGGGGGGGTGTAATTAGTGACACCATTTTAAGGAGGTCTAGGTGTTTTGTGGTGGGGGAGGGCTGGGGCTGGTCAGACTAAATTGAATTTCATGACATCATTGATGACCCCCCCCCCCTCACTGATCACGTCATTAAATATTCTCTATGACCACGTCAAGGTACCACTCAGATCACGTCAAGGTACCACTCAGATCACGTCAAGGTACCACTCAGATCACGTCACACAGAAACACCACAAGGATCACGTCAAAAATCACCAGAATGATCACGACAGATTACCACGACGGTTAAATAAAATCTTTCCCCGAGATTTAATTACAATTACCGATTTTGTCATTTCGACACCAAATGTATTTAAGACACAAAGCCGCCAGATATTTTAGTCTCGCACGTCAGCAAGTGTGCGGTTGACAAGAAAGACTCTTTGAGTGGGGTTTATTTATTGTTTCCCAAAGCGGCTTCAATAATCGAACTATCTATTTGCCGTTACTGTGACGTAAGTCGTCTGCTCATCTGTTGCACGTGTGACGTACTCCCGTCGTATGCCCCTTTATTCGCTGCTCTATTTTTAGCACTTCAAAGCTTCGATCAAATCGAATAAAGATTTGAAATGCTTGCAGCAGATTGCAAGTATTTAAAAATATTTGTTTACTTAAATAAAATTAAGGTACATATAAACTAGAAACGGCACCAATGAATTAAGTAAACAAGTAAACATGTCAATAAATATTGATAAAAGTAGTTATGAATTTAAAAACATTGATTTAAATTAAAGAACATTTATTTACTCACAGTTAGGTTCAAATAAAAGACCAAGAATCAGAAATTTTTCAAAGAACGGAGGCACCAAATGAAATTAAAGGAGCGCTGTTATGTGCGCGGCACAAAGAACGGTTGACGTCTGCTGTGTTGTTTGGTTGCTAGCCAGGATAAAGACTTGTGCTCACGAGCGCGAGACGCTGATGTAGCAGACGTGGCTCACGTCAGACGCCAGTCGTATGGCGGGGTCAGGCTCGCGCTGTCGCTAACTTCTGACCAATCGCCGGGCAGGGATACAAGCAACTCATTAAGATTAATTGCAACCCTTCCCTCTATTAAAGTGATTTAAAAACAACGAAATTGCGTGTTTTATTTGAAAAAAACTGACATAACAATAAGATATTTACGAGTTGAGAGTGTTTAGTTAGAGGATAGCTGGTTTAAATTGGTATCATCTGCTTTTGTTACCACTCTTATCCTGTAGTGTCGGCCGATAAAACAATAGAAAATATTTTTTTTAATTTGATGAATTTGAGCGTGGATGTAGAATGGGACATCACAGTGTGTACAAGCTGATTAGTGTGTACACGCTGATTAGTGTGTACACGACGATTAGTGTGTATAGGGGATGTGTACACGCTAATTAGTGTGTACAGGGGATGTGTACACACAGGTACACACGCCGGCTGGCTAATTTATCGATCGCCGTTACGTAAGGGAAGAAACGATTGGTTCTGGCAGGGGCGTCTGACGTCACACGGCGCTGGACGCCAGTTGATGAAGGTCAAGGTTGACGGACGACTGCCCGGGCGGTGAACTCTTTATTTTGCTAAAAAAAAAATATTTTTAAACTGCCGTTAACTTTTTACCCACGAATGTTAGAAAGTTGACAATTGTTCTGTTGTTCAAATTTTCGTATTTAACTAGTCGCTAACTGTCGTTATGAAAAAGAAGGTATGGACTAGATAAGTTTATAGTGAAATCTTATTCTAACCAAACTAAAATCTTAACGACAATAATCACCCCAGCTATGTCTGACCAATGAAAATGCCGAAAAAAACCAACTTATCTCCTGGTATCCCACCTTTTTCCCATGGTACCCCCTCCCCCCCCCCAAGGAATCCCACCTTTCCCCCATGGTACCCCCCCCCCCCCCAAGGAATCCCACCTTTTCCCCATGGTACCCCCCCCCCCCAAAGGAATCCCACTTTTCCCCATGGTACCCCCCCCCCCCTCCCCCCCCACGGAATCCCACCTTTCCCCACGTCTGGACAGAAAAAAAAAACATGTCATATCTCCAGGCACTAAACACCTGCCGATGCCAGACAGATAGGTGAGTGTGGTGGGGAGGTGGAGGGGGTGGCGAGGTGGAGGGTGTATAGAGTGCGAACTGCGAACCTAACGAAATCTCACGTGGCCTGAGGCGAGAAGTCCACAGGGAGGTTATAATAGCTAGGTGGATGGTGGACAGTAGTTGACCATGTCGACTGGACACGTGTGTGTGTGTTGTTGTGTGTGTGTTGTTGTGTGTGTGCTGTTGTGTGTGTGCTGTTGTGTGTGTGATGTTGTGTGTGTAATGTGTGTGTGATGTTATGTATGTGTGGTGTTATGTGTGTGTGGTGTTGTGTGTGATGTTGTGTGTGTGATGTTATATGTGTGATGTTGTGTGTGTGTGATATTTGTTGTGTGTGATGTGTGTGTGTGATGTTGTGTGTGTGATGTGTGTGTGTGGTGGTTGATAATGAACTTGAGAATGTCGACTGGACATGTGTGTGTGTATCTGCTGTTGTGCATAAGTGCGTATAATTAGTGTCTTGTTTGTATGAGTAGGTGTGTGTTAGGCTGTAAATATGTATAAGTGTGTGTTTGTGAGTTTGTGAGCATTTGTGTGTGAGTGTGAACGATTTCCCAAGAGGCCAGTAACCACATCACTAAGATCAAGGTCACTGAACAAATTACTAAGATCAAGGCCGCTAACCACATCACTAAGATCAAGGTCACTAACCTGCTGACCCTGTACTGTGGGTAAACACTCTGCCCGACCCCCCCCCCCCCCCCCCCCCGACCCCCCCCCCCACCACTCCCACTCCACGCCGACCTACAACAGCAGAACCTTGATGTCAGAGCGTGGTACTGTTTGATTAGATCCGCCCTGCCCTGGACTCCATGCATCCAATCATCGCTTTGATTATCCCTCAATAAATCGTTCAGCCGTTAATGTGTTCATTGGGGTGTGACCGTCAGTGCAGTGTACCCCCACCCCCATCTCTCCACCCGTAAACAGATTGTTGACCTGCGCGTGCAACGTCAAGGTCAGTGGGTGCTCAGCCAGGCGTGACGGTGGGGTTTACACGCGTGAGTTGCTGTTTGTTTACTGAGAGAACGTTCTAGAAGTTTGCAGAGGGTGTGTGTTGTTTTTACAGTCTATTTATTTATTTTCTTTGTTTTAGCAAACATACAACCTGAATAAAAGCAAGCTTTGAATAAACGCCCGTGAAATAATTAAAGTACCGTGAACAATTTATTTATTTAATCCCCATCGATGACGTATTTTTGTTTGTTTACCTCCCTCCATCTACCGAAATCTGTCTGCTCACAGGTCTAACACGCACATCTAACACGCACATCTAACACGCACACCTAACACGCACATCCAACACGCACATCAACATGAACGGTGTCGTCACTTTAAACAGGTTCATAGTATGACACGTGACTTTATATTTTATTCGAGTTTTTGACCGTTTCTTTCATCTGATTGAGTCCTGACATAAACTTTCTGGTAGCCTAGTGTTAGATGAGTGGAGGTTTTATTTGTGTTCGACACGATATTCTATCCTTCGTCCCCTTCCACCCCCTCTCTGTGTGAGTACTCTATCTCCTACTCACAGTGATCACGCCACCCCTGCTGATCGTCTGCTAACAGATACCACCGTCTGCTAAGAGATTACCACAGTACTTCCAATGCCCGTAGCAAACGACTTGTTTTTCAGGCCGACCAATCAAATCCTAGGTGTACAATTTCTTCCAGAACGAGGGTAAAATGGCGAAGAGAAAAGGAATGAAGCTAACAACGGCGGAGTAATGAACTTCATTAAGGTGGGGTGGGGAGGGGGGGGGGAAGTTAGCTGACGACGCAGGGGGAGTAACTCGTAATAAGGTAAATCCATTTGTTGTCTTCCCTTGTGAGTTGCCTTGAACTGGTTAATGGTAATACATGACAAACACACACACATCTCAAGATACACACACAATACAGGACAAACACACACACATCTCAAGATACACACACACACAATACATGACAAACACACACACATCTCAAGATACACACACACACACAATACAGGACAAACACACACACATCTCAAGATACACACACACAATACATGACAAACACACACACATCTCAAGATACACACACACATCTCAAGATTCACACACACAATACAGGACAGATACACATTAACTACACACACAATATAAACACACAACAGACACACACACACAACAGACACACAGACACTGCAGCTTATTGGTCGAATTCTGAAACGACAGAAACAACTAAGTCGCTCATCGACCTGTCGCCCAACTTGACCTGTCACCCAACTTGACCTGTCACCCAACTTGACCTGTCACCCAACTTGACCTGTCACCCAACTTGACCTGTCACCCAACTTGACCTGTCACCCAACTTGACCTGTCACCCAACTTGACCTGTCACCCAACTTGACCTGTCGCCCAATTTGACCTGTTGCCCAACTTGACCTGTCGTCCAACTTGACCTGTTGCCCAACTTGACCTGTTGCCCAACTTGACCTGTCGTCCAACTTGACCTGTTGCCCAACTTGACCTGTTGCCCAACTTGACCTGTTGCCCAACTTGACCTGTCACCCAACTCCCTAGGAAATTTGAGCATACCCCCCTCCCCCCGAAAGTATCATGTGCACTGACACCCCTACCCCCCCCCCCCCCCCACTTGTATGTATTAACCCTAGTTTGCTCCATGTTTTCGATCTTTAAATTCCATTTTCACTCACCGCACTAGTATACGGAAACTTTTTAATATAGTTTTTAATTAATAATTTATTACTTAATTAGACTGGAATGTGCTTTTTATGTTTAACCATCGGAGTTAATTAAAATTTCTCAAAAATAAAATGTATGGGCAAAGTTGAGTAGCCTACTTGCTTGTAAAACTGCAATAATACGCAAGCAGGGCATTACTCCCAGTCAACGACCCTGTGAACATCGGCCGAACATTAGCCCAAGATTAGCCCAAGATTAGCCCAACACCATCCCAACACCATCCCAACACCATCCCAACACCAACCCAACACCAGCCCAACATTAGCAGCCAGGTCAATTACACGTCGTCAATTCACACCTGTATATTAGCCCCCACCCCGTCAATTCACACCTGTATATTAGCCCCCACCCCGTCAATTCACACCTGTATATTAGCCCCGCTCAAACAAACAAAATTAATGGAAGTGGGATATTATCCGCCACCCTGTCAGTTATAAATTAACCCTACACCCGATCCTAAGATTAACGGTCGAGGGTAGGGTTAGGTCGAGGGTAGGGTTAGGTCGAGGGTAGGGTTAGGTCGAGGGTAGGGTTAGGTCGTGGGTAGGGTTAGGGTTACCCGATTCTAAAGTTTGTAACTTCCCATTTTTTGCCAGTCTGTAGAATGTCTAGGACAAATACCAGGCGAATACAATTTTTTTGGTACCATCTCAGGAAGTCGGGCTTTTCATTAGCCGGGTAATTACCATCAGTGGCGGAGCGAGGTCGGGTGTCACCCGGTGCGGCACTTAATGGTGCCCCCCCCCCCCCCAGAGGCGTAGCGACCCTTCCCGGGGACAAACTTTCAAATTTTCCATTTGCACCCCACTCAAGTTTTTCTCTATATATTTTGCTATTTTTTGCCTTAAATGGTGTCACCCGGTGCGATCCGCACCCCCGCCCCCCCCCCCCCTCGCTACGCCCCTGATTACCATGGGAAGGCGGGAGAGTAATTAAGACGAGGGGTTAATAAAGGGGGAGGGGAGGGGGGGGGGGGTAAATGTCCGGGTCCATTTAAGCATTTAAGATCCGAACCGATGCTTTAGTAGGTAGAGACCTGCTAACAGCTCGACCACTCGATAACCAGGTCTGTTTGCCTCGTCTGGTGCCAGCTAACAACTCGACCACTCGATAACCAGGTCTGTTCGCCTCTCGTCTGGTGCCAGCTAACAACTCGACCACTCGA